TGCTCCTTGGAAGTGAGAGTGGCCAGACCTCGTCTCACCTACTTTGGTCATGTTGTTAGAAAGGACCATTCTCTGGAGAATGATGTCATGCTTGGTAAGGTAGAGGGTCGACAAAAGAGGGGAAGGCCTTCAACAAGATGGATTGACATGGTGGCTGCGACAATGGGCTCAAGTATAGCAAGGATCATGGAGCCTGCATGGGATCAGGCGGTGTTTCATTCTGCTGTGCATAGGGTCGCTATGAGTTGGAAATGACTCTATGGCACCTAACAACACCAACATATATCTGCTTGGGAACACTATGTTTTTGTACCAACTAATTTTGAACTGAAGTCCCTGGATGGTGCAATAGGTTAAGGAGCTCAGATGGTGACCCACAGATTGGAGGTTTGAGTCAGTTAAATGTGTTTCAGAAGAAAGTTCTGGTGAGAACTCAGCCATTGAAAAGCCTGTACAACACAGTTCCACTCTAATACACAATGGGTCACCTTGAATCAGAACTGACTCGATGGCAGCTCCTTTTTTTTTTTTTTTTTTTAATTTTTTCAGTCTTGAACTGGAATCCCTAAACTAAAATAGTAGAATTAATAAAAGCTCTAAACTCTCAGCAAATATCCTACCAAAAGCCTATTGTCATTGAGTTGATTCACACGCATAGTCACCTTATAGGACAGAGTAGAACTGCCCCAAAGGATTTTCAAGGTAGCATAGTGCCTAAGGCACTTGACTGCTAACCAGAAGGCTGGTGGTTCAAACCCGCCAGCCACTCCTTGGACGGAAGGTTGGGCAATCTACTTCCGTAGTGATACCACCTCGGAAACCTAAGGAGGGTTCGCTATGAGTTGGGTCTGACTCAACGGCACGTAACAACAACAACAAATCTTTACAGAAGCAGGCCACTATGTCTTTCTCCTGCAGAGTCACTGCTGCATTTGAACCACCAACCTTTCGGTTAGCAGTCAAGCTTTAACCATTCATACCAGGGGCCAAATGTCCTACCAAAGCAAACCAAACCCACTGTCATTGAGTCAACTCTGACTCATAGCAACCCCCATAGGGCTTCTAGGGCTGTAAATCTTTACAGAAGTAAATTGCCTCATCTTTCTCCCATGAAATGTCCTATAGTGGCCCACTAATGCAAGAATCTACAGATTACAACATTGACCTATTCCCACCTCCACTTTTACCCCTGCATTAAATGGTGAGAGAGAGATCTGAGGTGAAGGGTGACTTAGCTTTCATGGTTGTTCCCTCGTTTTATGTTGCTTTATTCTTTCTCTCACTCATGCCCTTGTTATGTTTTTTGTCAAATATTTAGACTGATTAGAAACTTGATAATAAATATGCACATTTGAAGCAGCAGTGTTAAGACACACACATAGAAAGGAAGCTGAAGTGATAATCCTGAAAAATGTATCTCATCTTTATTCATTTGCTTAAAATGTTTAGTTTCAGTCTGAAAGGGTGATATAATGGTTTTCTGAACTTCTTTTTTTCAATCTCTGCTGTCCTTCCTTCAAATCTCACAAGAATCTATGTCTGATGAGCAACCACTTATGAGAACTCAATGAGCAGGCCCAGACTTAGGAACGTGAATTTATTGTGAGTACTGCCCCTAGCTTTCAGAATAACCTTGAACAAGGGCTTTCCTACTTCCTCCTTCTAGCAGACCAAAAAAATCAAACCCACTGCCATCGAGTTGATTCTGACTCATAGTGATCCCCATTGGGTTTCCGAGGTGGTAAATCTTTACGGAAGTAGATTGCCCTGTCTTCCTTCCACAGGGTGGCTAGTGGGTTTGAACTGTCAACCTTCTGGTTAACAATCAGTGCCTTAGGCACTGTGCCACCAGAGCTTTTAGTATCCTTTTACTGACTAAAAGGTGTGTGCTGGCATTCAGGACTGTAGGACCCTACACTCTATCTAACTGCAGAGTTCAAATAATAGTGCAGACTAAATCCTAATAAAGTAAATACCACCCAGTGCCATCAAGTTGCTTCCAGCTCATCGTGACCCTAAAGGACAGAATTGAACTGCCCCATAGGGTTTCCAAGGCTATAAATCTTTATTGAAGCAGAATGCCTCATCTTTATCCCACTGAACGTCTGGTAGGTTTGAACTGCCAATCTTTTGGTTAACAGCTGAGTGCTTTAACCACTGTGCCACTAGAGCTCCCAAAGTAAATGCAGGTGTGGGAAAATCATTGTATTCTTTCATTCCTGATGTGATAGGAACTTGCGCAGAAAGTCCTGCATTTGGCAGTGAAAGTAACTCAAGAGGTGATCTGTGCTCTAAGGGAGCACACGATCATTTCAGGATATAGACATGCCTACCTGTACATATAATACAAAGCTATGTGATGATTTCCACAAAAGAAGTACAAATAAAACGTTAAGGGGTTTCAAAGGAAAACTAATTCATGCCTGGCTATAGGAATTAGGGAATGGACTGTGTAAGTACTTTGTGAAATTTGGTTATAGAGTTTTATATGCTAAGATAAATATGTGTCAAACAATATTTCATATCATAATGTTTCAATAAATAAAGATAATTTGGTTAGTTTGCAATTTTTTGAAGTCATATACATTTATCCACAGATAAATGCAAGCTCATACTCACACACACTTATGTGTCTGCACCCTCCAAGAGAATAATGAAGGAAGTCCATATGTTTATTACCAGACATTTTCCATCTTATTGTTTTGAGTAGCTCATTCCAAGGTAACTGGAACAAAGTATTTAATGTGGACAGTAAGGGAAAAAGAGAAAATATAATGGCTTTAGTCATGAGGAAGCTGTGGTAGTTCAGTTTGTGTGTCAATTTGGCTGGGCCTGGTTGAGTGGCTGGGCAGCTGGAAATAGTATTCCCCATGATGAGACTGGTAATCAACTCCATGGTGGAATCTACTGTGAGCAGCTGAGTAGCTGCCTTAGGGATGTGGTCCGCTTCCTATGTATAATTAGAAGCCTTGGGGAGTGGTCTCTAGCTTATTGCACGTTTGGACCCTGTGTATAGCCGTGTTGTTCAGCAGCCTGCCATGCTCTGCTGACTTTGGGACTTTCAATGGACTTGAATTAATGGCCTGCTGTATGGTTTGTTAACATCGGGACTGTGCCCTTTTATTTGTCGACCTTGGGTTTGTTAGCCTCAGCAGCCAGTAGCTGTCTGAGTGAAGAGATGGCTCTAGCTTCAGTGGGCTGGGAGCAAGAGGCAGAGCTGAAGCCCAAGGTCAAGGGGGTTTCACATAGCCCCTAGAGCCTGGCACTTTGAACTTGGACTTAAAGCCTTCAAATTGTAACAAACTCCTGTTTGTTAAGGCCATCCCATTTGTGGTATATTCTTGTCAGAGCGGCACTAGGTAACCAGAACAGAAGCCATTCTTTTTGCAATGTCATTTTCTTTCCCAAGTGAACAGATATGGTAGAGAAGTTTTTGTTTTGGCATTCTTTTTTCTTTGTTTTTGGTTTGGCGATATGAATCTGATGAAATTATTGAATGGAGAAAATGAAAGATGCACAATAGGATATAAATACTTCAGTGAGAAATAGGAAATAATGCAGCAGAAAAGTTCCAAGAGAAGAATATAAATGCCCAAAGGTATATTAATTTAAAAAAAAAACAAAAAACTTCAGCCGTGAAGTAACCATTATGGCACAAAATAATTGTTAAAAAAAAAAAAAAAACAGATTTTTACTCTCCAGTAAGCACCCATTTAAAAAATAATGGTAGTCACCACTACCAAAGGTCTGCTAAAAGAAACGTTTTTGTAAACTGCTGATGAGAAGATAGATAAGTATAAACTTTTTGGTAAGAAATTTAATAATATATATCAAGAGCCATAAAAGATTATATTGTTTGATTCATTTACCTTCTAGGAGTATTTCCTAAGGATGGTAAAAAAAAATGTAAAAAGTTGATATTGACAAAATTTGGAAATACTTAAATGATCAACTATGGAATTCCTAATGTCACTTCAATGTATCAGTAGCATTTAGCCACCACTGAAAATGATGTTACATAGACTATTTACTGACATGTTTAGTGACAAACAGGTAACAATTTTGAATATCTATTCCAAGTTTATACACACATAGATGTATCTGTATACACGAGTGTGTGTATATATATATGTATATACATGTATATACACATATATATGCATATCTATATACACATATGTACACACATGTATACACACACGCACATGTATGGGATATATACATATATAAATGAAAAAATATTGACAAGGAAAAAACTTCTAGTATTAACAAAATGGTAACAGTGGTTGTTTTTATTGGGATTAACCTTTGTATTTTCCTTTTTTACCTATCTGAAATGCCTATTTTTTAAACAATTAGTTAAGTATTGATAGAAATCACATATCTTACAATTGTAATAGTTATTCACTGAGCATCTCCTATGCACCAGGTATTTTTGCTAGGTTCTGGCTGTACGGCATCATTAATTCATGCAGCTATCAGTAGGGTAGGCATTTTCCCCATCAAGCAAACTGAGGCTTATAGATGTGAAAGAGCCTATTTAGGACATACTGCCAGCCACTCCTCAGAAGGAAAGTTGGGACAATCTACTTCCCTAGTGATACTGCCTCGGAAACCCAAGGAGGGGTCACTATGAGTCGGATCTGACTTGAGGGCAGTGGGTTTTTAATATGTGAAGGTGGCCCATTTGACCTACCGTTCTCCTGTTCTGTGACTATATTATGCTTTGGAGGGGATGCTAGATTGACATAAAATAGAACAATTAATAGTTGGATTTCCAAATTTATTGAGCTTAGGAATCAGATCCATCACCAAAACTCTATATAATTATTTTTATTTAATGTTAAGCCTATTGTATTCAACCTACCTCAGGAGATTTATTCCTAAAGTTTGAAGTCAGGAACAGCTTTTGCATATTGGTAGACTTTGTTTTTTCTATCTGACAAACCGTGTGAATTTTTTTGCATTGGTAATTATTATATATTTTTTTTTAATTTCAGCTCTACGATGGATCACAACGAATGGGGCGCTACTGTGGAACAGATATGCCCCCTCCAGGGAGTACCACAGGCTCCAGGCTTCGTGTGCTGTTCCATACTGATGGAGTTGGTCACCATGAGAAAGGATTTCAGATGCAGTGGTTCATTCACGGTGAGCCCTGTACCTGTCACAGTTGTATTTGGCACTTGCTCTCTGACCAACAAATTTTCCCTTTCCAATTCCATACTTGGAAATAATACGGTCAACAAACAATGGAACTAGGGTGTAATCTGGTGCTGGGTTTAGAAAGCTTATTTAGACATGGTAGACCCCTGGAGATTAATTAGGGTTAAGAGAGGAAGAAAAGTCAAAATGAATAGGATTTGGATAACTGCCTAAGTAGTTGCAGTTGGAAATTGCCTAACCAAAAGGAGGGAGCAGAATGAAGTTTCTGGGGAGAAGACCTATACCTTGGTTTGGGAAGCACGTTTGCAAAGTGAGATGGGAGTTTCTCAGGTGCAATGGAATAGAATGAAAATGAAGGCTGTCATTCAATAGAAAAAGGGTGTCAGAAATAGAGACATAATGATAGATAATCAGAGAGAGACAGAGAGACAGAAGGGGAAGGGGAAAGGAAAGGATTAGGCTGAGAGGAGGAACAGAAACGGAGAATGGAAGTTAGTGATGCACTAAGGCAGGAATGTGTGTTGTACCTTCCAGACAGAGACGGGAAACCTCAGATTCCTACAAATGGGTGGGTCAGGAAGCAGGTAGAGATAACCATTCCTCTAAAGAAGAAAAGTAATTTTTTAACAAGAGGTCTGAGATGTCTATACTTGACCTCATGTGGGCTAGTTGAGAGGGAGAGGGCCCCAGAGGAGTGCTTCTCAAACATGCTCCGCAACAGCAGCCTCAACATCATCTGGAGTTTGTTAGAAATACAAATATTTTGGCCCCATTCCAGATCTACAGCATCAGAAACTCTGATAGTAGGGCCAACATTGTGTGTTTGAACTAGTCTCCCATATAACTTTTTGAAGTCTGAGGAGCACTGTCTTAGAGGGACCAAACCTGAACAATATAGCTCCTTTGGCTATAGCAGCCTTTCTCAACCAAGATATAGGGGTCACTTGTATGTTTCAATCAATTTGAAAAATAAATGAAGTTGCAATATTATACCAGGAATCACACATGGACATCTAAGCTGTGCCAAACTGTCCAAGTGCATTATGAGCCCAAGGTGAGCATACATGGATGTATGTCATGGATGTAAAACTCTTGAGGGCTGCTAACATTTTAGTGAGCTCATTATATGAATTGCAGAGCTACATATAATGAACTAGCCCTATTATACACTCAAGTGCTGGATAGTCTGAGGTTAAGTCTATGGTAAATGAAGAAAAATACATCTCTTCAAAAAATCATGAACTGGGAACTGAGTATATTTTTGTTAAAGTGTAAATATGATATTTACAGTGTTTAAAAATGGTCAGTGGTAATCCACAGAGTTACTTATAACCTGGAATATAGATTATGAATCCCCAAAGTAAATGAGCTATGATAATTAAGCTTGTGAAAGCGTGGGAACTTCTTATTCATCAAGTGGGTAGATTTAACCTTGGAATGGTCAGTTTATTGATTTGTTAAATGAAAGAATTGAGCTGATTCATCTCTACAGTACAGTCTGTTTCTATTATTCTGAGATTTTGAAATAGTATGATATTTAGGAAGAGAGAGACAGTTGTAAAAATATACAGGGGACAGGAAAATACAAGAAAATGGCCCAGATCTTCAAGAGCGAGGGGTATTCTCCAGAGCAATGCTTTTCTGACTTTAATGCACACATGAATCACCTAAGGGTCTTGTTAAAAATGCAGATGCTGATTCAGTGGACCTGGGTGGGGCCTGAGACCTGTATTTCTAACATGCTGTCAGGTAACTCGCTGTCAGGTAATGCTGCTGCTGCCCTTCTGTGGGCCACCTTTGAGGAGGAAGCAATAGTCATGTTAAGGCTGGAGAAATAAAATGGTAAAGAAAAGCAGGAGACTCCTTCTAAGGTGCTGCAAGCACACACTCTACCAACAGTTTGTTTCAGTGACAGTAAAATGGTAACTGGGGTCCTATAAGGAAGAACCTTATTGCTTTAGAAACCCACCGGGGAGAAAGCTTTCATGTGGGATAGAGGATAGAAAGTAAGAAGTGCTAACTAGGAGACCTGGGGCTCAGGAAGTAAGGGAGTGGTACTTAGCCCTGGATGTACTTTGTAATTATCGGGGAATTTTTAAAAAATACTCATGCCTGGGACCAACCTAGAGAGACTGGAGCCAATTGATCTGGGGTAGGACCTTGAATGTTGCTATTTTTTCAACGCTCCCTGAGTAATTCTGGTGAGCAGCTGGGATTGGGTGTTTTAGGAACAGTGACTTTATTGGTTGTATCTTTCCCCACAATGGGATTTTTCCATCTACCCTCCAGGCTATTCTAGTCACACTAACCAAAGGCCACCCTAAAGAATTTTTGATTTATGCTCATTATTGCTACACTCAATTATTGTACCAATTATTATATCCCTGGGTTCTTGAAGCCATGCAATGCTTCCTGCCAACAAGTGAGACACAACTGAATCCTCTGGTGAAAGCTCCGAGTTTTTGTTAGGAAAATTTTTCCTACCAGTTCCATTTAAAATCTTTCTTTTTCTGGGGGAGTCAAAGACATCATCTGTCTATTCTCTTTTCCTGTTTACTATTTCAAAACTTTCTCCCAATTGCTGAAAACTTGCTAAGCTTGGAGCCAGAGTTATGCAACTCACTTTTACCAACTGGAGCTAGAACTCAAAAATTTTAAACTGGCTTCTGTCCACCATGTATAAATTATAGTGGGAAGATCTGTACAAACTTAATCAACTTTTTAAAACTAATAATTACCCAATGCTATAACTACACAGAGTTTATACTCTGCATGTGAACTATGCCCATAACTTGAGATTGTCAGAGAAGAGGGTAGGAATAGAGAAAACTAGAATCAGGAAAAAGGTCTTCAATAGAAAAAATCCTTCCCTACTACTTTTTACCCTTTGGAGATAAACTGCAGACTTAAGCCGTGAGTTATCCATTCTTTGTGCATTCTATGCATAATAAGGATCTGTGATGTGACAAGTCCTGTCCTTGGGCTGGGGACACAGTGGTGACTTAACCAAGCATGCTTCTTGTTCTCACCGGGCTCCCAGGCTAGTGAGGGCAATCAAGACACATCAGGCAAATACTCATACAAATAAAATAAAAACTATGATATGGTCCAGAGAGATACTCTGAGATACATTGTGAGGGTTTCTTTATGGGCACATACTATAGGGAGTTTGACATATACAGGAGGTCAGGGCGGTTTGCTATGAGATTGGGACATTTGAAATAAGAACTAAAAATAAGTAGAAGTTGACTAGGCAAATGGAAGAACAAAGACAATTCTGCATCAATCAAAAATGCTGTGGTGGAGGAAACAGGGTAAGAATGAGAGAATCAAAAAGTTCAGAGCAGGGAGTAAGGCTAGAGGAGGCTGGAGAGCTAAGCAGAGGCCAGATCATGTGGGTAATAAATATATGGATGCCTAGGATCTCAGGCAGGGATAGAGTCCGCACCATGTTTTTTTCTTGAAATTCATCATATTGCTAGTAAATGAGTTTTGAGTATGATCTTGAAGGATTGAAGTAACCTGGCAAGTTGTGGGCCTCAAATACTTTATTATTTAAAAATTATACTGAATTGTAAAGTGTAATAGTTAATAATATTCTTGAACATATATGTGAGGAGTGTGCAGATGTGAATGTGTATCTCTCTGTGTGTGCGTATGTGTGTGTATGTAACATCAGGAGAAAAATACTCCAAAATATTGTCTCTGTAGAGCACCCCTAAACATCTTCTCAGAATTAGGTGGAAGGACTCAGGCCCCAAAGCTGCTCTTCTTTACCTGGTCAGAGGAAGTGGCTTTAAACCCCACCTTCATTTCATCAGAATCAAATCACATTTCAAGCCCCCTTTATCTTCCCATTCTTTTCTAAACTGTGTAATAATAAGAGCTCAGTAATTATGCTGGGAGTTCACAAAACGACAGTGACATCATTTCCTGGGCATTTCTGCTGAAGAAGAATCCCCCACACACTTCATTCAGTAAGCCAATTAATAAATAAACCCATTTACAAAATGTCCTTCTTTGTCGAACCTTCTATTTGCTTTGAAAAAATGGATCTACAAACTGGCTCTATCTGTTGTCCCATTTTTAAAGTGGTGCTGCAGTAAAGTGAGATTAAACCACATCACCATGCCTTTATGCATATCATCAAAGACAGTCTCACACTGGAAATAATGAAATAGCCACAGTTGCCTTGCCTGGCTAATCGGTTCTGTATTCAGCATTGACAGCATTGTCTAGAGGCTGAATTCGGCCTCACAGGCCTCAGTCTGGGTTGTGGAAGGGAATATAGAACTCTCTGCAAGCTGTGTGAATAGTGACCTCCCAGCCAGCTGCACACACCCCTCGTTTCTTCTGGTCTTCCGCTCCCAGAGGCCTTCTTTTACTGGGCTGTGGAATCCCGCACACAAACAAGGTCAAGAAGCTTTGTGAGTGAAAGAGTGACATTTGCAAAGGGAGAGAACACTTCAGCTGGGAACTAGCAGAGGAAGGGCTAAGTGACATGTGATCGGGAGGTGATGTCACTCTGTGTTTTCACAAAGGAAAGTGTGGCCTTTTCTTTGGGGAGGTAGATGACATCAGCCTCTTGAATTGGGCTGGTTCCATTTGCCTTCTATTTAGCCATTAATAAGATTTCTTAAGCTTTGAGAATTTTTAGAAATCTGCTTGGTGAGAACATTTAAAAACTTCATCAAGATCCTTTAGTTTGGACATAAGCCAGCATCTTCTTGCTTACCTGTGGACCCATGGCACTATACCAAAGGCTTTAAAAAAATATATTTTTAGAACATTGACAAACAAGCCCTGTGAGACCAGCAATGTTTTTCTTAAAACCTTAGTTCCAGTCCCCTTTCCTCTTTTCAAAATAGTCTTTGTTTATTTTTGGTCTTTCAGGGGAATTATTTTCAATTTGTAATTTTCATTCCTTTTATGACTTAGAGTATGTGTGATGAGGTTTCTGGAAGATTGACCCATTTGAGGACAAA